TGAGGGCACAAAGGCACACTCAAAATGAGGTAGGGTTTAAAAAAGCACGCTACGTGAGAGATGGTGGCTCAAAAGAGCACTTAAAAGGAAGTGAGGGCAGAAATGCACACTCAAAATGAGGTAGGGTTTAAAAAAGCACGCTACCTAAGAGATGGTGGCTCAAAAGAGCACATGAAAGGAGGTGAGGGCACAAAGGCACACTTAAAATGAGGTAGGGTTAAAAACGCACGCTACCTAGGAGATGGTTAAACATGATCTAACAATGTTGAAAGCAATGCATTATGATCAATATGCATGTATACTTACCTGAGAAATATGGGTCCCCATTTCTTCATGGTGTCTTCCTTTTCTGAAAAGTTAGAGTGTCAGCAGTAGGCTTGATGGCTTTCCCACTCTTGCTTACTCGAGTCAAATCTTGATTTTGACATCTAAGGAGTTAATGTTATCATACTTCTTTATCCTACACCCTTTATCTCAATGGTTGCCAATTTTGCTTGGCATTCTTTTTAAAGAAGGGAATCATGGGGCCAGCCTTATCAGGCATTTTTGATTGCCCCCCAGCTTGATCATGCCCCCAAGTGTTTAATTTGGGTTTAGGGATGAGGCTATGTGGAAGGTTTGGTCTTTGACAAGGAGTTGCTTTCATGCAGAAAATTTGGAATTTCAAAGCTATTCCAGACATAAAAATCATTTTGACATCGATTCAAAGCAAACTCATTCTGAAGAAATTCAAGTGATTCCTATGGAGAGGTTTTCGGAAGTGATGAAAACTTTTAGTTTTGCTTTTGGTGAAAATGTGAAAAACACAAAGTGACATCTAGGTGGTCACAAAAGGTTTAAATTTCAATTTGAGGGTTATTGAGAACCGTTGTTTAAAACATTCATTTTATTTGCATGAATAATGATTTGGTTCGCATGAGAAAACACTGCCTACTGATCCAGATTGCTTGCCTTTGATCAGAAAGGGCTTGATTAGGCATGTAATGTAGGTTTGGGCTATTGGTTATGAAGAAAAAGATATTTATAGCTCAAAAGGTGTTTAAGGGACTTTAAGACTAAGGATCACTAGTGTTTATATCCCAAACTTTTTATTCATACATTTCTGGACCGTAGAATTGATTTGCAGAATGGTCCACGGTGCCCCCTAGTGTTGGGCTTAGGCTCTTTCTTTTTGTTTTTGTTTTCTTCATTTGATTTTGAGCATCATTGTATTGGCTTTTTTTATGCTAAATTTTTTTTTTAATCCTTTGGATTTTTTTTTATCCCCCCAGCTTTGTATGGGCACCTTCGATGATTGAGAATTTTCTTTTATGCCCCCTAGTATTGTTTGGGCACTTTCAATCGTCGAGGTTTTTTCGTGCCCCCAAGAGTTATTTGGGCACTTTCAATCGTTAAAGATTTTTTTGCACTTGCCCCCTAATGTAGGGTGTGACCCTAGTTAAGGTTATTTTTCAAGAAAAATCTATTAGGCTCAAAAGAGGACTGCAAAAGATATATTTTAGCCTTGTGAAAAGGATTATCAAAGATGGCCTTTCTTCATCTCAAATGCATGCATTTAGAATCAATAAGCCTTGCTCTCATGCGAGTATGCAAAGTGATTTCTCATTATTCATGCAAATAAAACTCTGTTTTTAGAGTCACTTCATTGTGTTCTTTTTTTGTTGTTTTTTTTTTCATCATTTTTTTTTGGTGTATGGTTACCTCGCCAAGGAATCTCTTGAATTTCCAGAACTTGTTTGTTTCGGAAAAACACCAATATGATTTCTGTTTTTGTACTAAACTTTGATTTCCCAAAAAATCCTTGTGAAAACATGCATAGTTTTGGAAGAAAGGGAAAACACGTCTAAAGATTCTTGGCGCAATGGTCTCATGTTCAGAGGTTATGTTCAATGTGTTATTTGCATGAAACAACAAAAAAATGAAGGCATGCGATGAATTCAGGAAAACACACGATCTTATTAACAAGTAAGGCTCAGTAGACAGGGAAAGTCTTGTGGAATTTTGAGCCAAATTACCAATAAAAACTAGAATAGGGTGAAAAAAATCAAGATTTTTTTT